AAAACAAGTTTAACTTCATTATTTTCTTCTTGTTACAAAAGTACTTCAAGAGAGTAATTGCTACATAATACTTATGACGCTTTTGCTAACATTTATCCTTGGAAACAAAATACAAAAGGTTTTTGACATAAATATTATGGTTTCACACATTCTTTACATAAAGAATAACAGCAAAACAAAAGGGAATTTGATTGCATCTGAAATAGTGGAAGAGAAGCAGAAACAATTGTTTAACGGGGAGAACAAATTACAAGACGGAAATCTGTGGAGAAGGGTCGGTTCGAGTAACCTTAAAGACCTATAAAGATGGTGGGAGAAAAAAAAAACAAAAAAAAAGAAAGAATTTTTGATAGAACATTTTGTAAAACCAATCTAAAATAACAACTACAGCGAAAAAGTTAACGGCACTATTCTCATCCCGTGAAAGAAAAAAAAAAAAAAAAAGAAAGAAACTTCTTACCTTATTGGATGTCTCCAGGGTTAATAGGTTATCCTCAAAGTCTGATGGGCTTTTCTTTAGAGTCTGGTCAGCAGGCAACGTGTTATCATTGTAGGATGATACAAACTTGAAGTCACTCGTTCTCGATCCTGTTGTTAGGTAGGCGTCATAATTGTAAGCGCTGCGTAAAGTTCCCGTGCCATCAACATCTGAGTAGTTTGGGGGAAGATAAGGGCCAGGAATGGCAACTGCTCCATCAAACAACAATCTAGGCTTTCTCCTGTGGCAAAACCTCACACCCAGGATGATAATAATGAAGGTCAGAAAGAAGGTGGACACAGAAACCAGCGCGATGATTAGATATGAGGTCAGTTTGGAGCTCTTATCATCAGAAGAAATATCTTTTAATTCTGGAACCTCAGCCAAGTTATCGGAAATAAGTAAATACATGGAACAGGTGGCAGACAGAGAGGGCTGTCCGTTATCTTTCACTGCAACAATCAGGTTCTGTTTCATGCTGTCAGATTCTAAAATGTCCCGCTGTGTTCTGATCTCTCCACTGTGCAGATCAATGCTGAAAAGTCCAGGATCAGTGGCTTTGACTATATGATAGGACAGCCAGGCATTCTGTCCAGAATCTGCGTCCACTGCTATGACTTTGGAGACCAGAGAGCCTCCATGTGCGGCTTTAGGGACCAGCTCTGTCATGAAGGAGGTTCCTTCCAGGGTGGGGTAGAGAATCTGAGGAGAGTTGTCATTCAGATCCGATATGAACACACTGATGGTCACGTTGCTGCTGAGTGGAGGAGAACCATTGTCTCTCGCCATTACGTAGACTTTAAAACTCCTGAACTGTTCATAATCAAATGACCTCACAGCATGGATCACCCCTGTGTCTCCATTTACAGATAGATAAGATGATACAGAAGCACCGTTCACTTCAGCAGGTAAAAGAGAATAAATCACTGTACCGTTTTGTCTCCAGTCTGGATCTCGAGCAGAAACAGAACATAAAGTGGAGCCAGGTTTGTTATTTTCATTAATATTTGCGCTGTAAGACTGTTCCTGAAACACAGGTGGGTTATCGTTAATATCAGCTACAGATAACTGAACAGTTTTAGTAGAGGAAAGAGGCGGAGAGCCCTCGTCAGCGGCAGTGATGGTAATATTGTAATCAGACACTAATTCACGGTCCAGATGTGCTGTGGTCACAAGAGAGTAATAGTTTTTAATTGAAGGAACTAATTTAAAAACTACATTTTCCTGAATGCTGCAGCGAACTTGCCCGTTGTTATCAGAGTCTCTGTCCTGCACGTTAATAACTCCAACCTCTGTACCAGGTAACACATTCTCAGGCACGGGATTGGACAGGGACTGAACAAAAATAGCCGGTTCATTATCATTTACATCAATAATATCTAATAATACTTTCGCATAAGAGGTAAGCCCTAATCCATCTTTGGCTTCAACGCTTATTTCAAATGAACTCTTTTCTTCAAAGTCAATCACACCCCTTACTTTAATTTCCCCGACATTTGGATCAATATAAAATAAATCTAAATCGTCTGTAGACATATGACCAAAGTCATAACTCACGTGTCCATTTACTCCTTCATCTGCATCAGCGGCGCTTACACTAATCACTATTGTTTCTGGTGGTGAGTTTTCAAGCACAGTTGCTTTATAAACATCCTGACTAAACACTGGGGCGTTATCATTAGCATCGAGCACTTTAACATGGATGACCACAGTACCTGATTTCTGCGGAGATCCGCCATCTGATGCTGTTAAAAGTAAATTGATTTCCTCTTGTTTCTCCCGATCAAGCTTATTTTCAAGTAGTAATTGAACCTTTTTCTTATCAGTAGCAAGTATAAAGTTATCATTGTTTTCAAGGGTGTATTTTTGAATATCATTTTGACCTATATCCGCATCATGGGCCTCCTCGATAGAGAAATGGTTACCTCTCTCTGCAGACTCGCTTATTTCCAATTCGATGACATTCTTTTTGAATTTTGGAGAATTATCATTCACATCTTGTACGTGAAGATTTAAACGATGTAGCTCCAAGGGATTTTCTAAGACCAGACCTATTTTCACGGTACATGAGGGTTTTTTGCCACAAAGGCTTTCTCTGTCTATTCGCTCGGATGTAATTAAATCCCCGGTTTTCATATCAATGTCACAATAACGCTTCCGATTCCCTTCTGCATCCACACGGGCCTTTCGAGCAGACAGTGTCATTAGATCAATTCCCAGGTCCTTGGCGACATTTCCAATGATAAATCCGGGTTTATTCTCTTCTGGAAAAGAATAGCTCAAATCTCCGTGAACGAGAGGTGTTGTCACTATAAAAGGAACAAAGAAGAGGAACATATCATACATCGGAAATCCTTTGTTTCCCATGATCGGAAAATGTCTTTATACCGAATATGTTAAGTAAATGCACAAAAATATTACAAAAACGGATCAAATTATGGCCTTAGCTAAGACGACGAAATGTACGGAGTGGGAGTAATTTCCTAAACAATTACATCTTTGTAGAGCTATGGCAGTAGGTGGAGATGTGTGCTCTGCTTTTTACGTGAACCCACAGCGGCACCGTGAGTCAGCTTTGATTATCTGCAGAGAATATTTTCCCATCCACAATATTTAAATCCAACCTGTAATTTTAACCGAAACCTAAATACATCAAATAAAAATATGCAACAGTTTAAGAACATGTAGACGTTGCTGTTGTATTTCTGTTGAATTGAGTTCTACTCTCAAGCTTCAGGCGGTGGTTTCAGGACCATGGAGAGAGACAGGGACGTTCAAATATTGAGAATGAACTTTTTGCGAAATTTCGTATGGTTTAAATTAAACTTAAGATAAAAAATAATAACTGTCGAGGCAAATGATATGCTTAATAATAATTTATTAATACGCAGATTAATACTCTTTTGGCTTTTAATGTGCTATTTTTATAGACAGATACAGACATATATGAAGTGCACGCCATCTGGGGCATCTTTTACAGAACAAAACGTATTGAAATGCAGAGAGAATATGGATTCTCTGAACTGCATGTATATGGACCAAGCAAAAGTCATTTATACATCCCAAAAACAACTGTAATGACGCGCACATGGCATGTTACACCACTGCACCCTGAACTTACATGCGTGTAAACCATCACTGTACGTGTGATTATAAGTGCATCATCAAATAACATATTTTACCGCAGAAAAAAACAAAAACAACTTCATGGCTGTATTAGAGTACCGGTGGCTGTTTGTAAACTAACCTTATATAATATTAACTGCAATATTTTTAGTCACTTCTCTTGCAGGCTACTAATGGGAGAAAATAAAAATTCACACTCGGTGATCCTCGCATCCCCTTCATATATTAATGAATATTAGATTTCGAAACTGAAGATTTAGCTAGAAATTTAAGCATTTAATAAAAAAAAAAAAAGATATAACTTTTTTATGTCTAAATGTATCATTTATTTCCCAAACAAAATATTTAGTTCACATTGAATATTTTACAAAGGTAAATATTTAGCCTCAAACACAATGCCAAACTTGGACCCAAGTCTTTAATTTGGTAACAAAATATTAAGTTGGTTAATTAAAAATCATTTAGTTTGCTGACTAAAAAAAAATAAAAATTAAAATATATTTGGCAACAAACTATTAGCAGTGTCTTGTAATCATTTAAAAATGCCTGGTGGTTGCGGTCTTAGATGTTCTGGTATTGATTTTTTTTTTTTTTCCCTTACCACTGCGCTGATATGTTGGACATTATTCATTTCAATTTTCTATTTCTTTCAGTCTTGCATAAACAAAGAAAAAGGCTGGGGTCCGTTTCATGAAGCAGGTTTAACAAATCCAGATTTAAATCCGCAGCTCTAAATTGATCTATAGCCAAAAGTCGGGAACTCTGAGTGTTCGGTTTCAAAACGGCTGCTATCAATTAGTTCAATCAAATTTAACTAGGTCCACTCAGACTTACGCGCGTGCGCAACAAGTATGAAAAGCCATTATCAGTGGAGAACCGATTCGACAACTCACCAAACAGGCAACAGGGAATGCCTTTTTCACCCCACTGGAACTAGATTTTTAAAGGCAGAAATGCAAAATAAATAAATCAAAATAAGAATATAAAATTATGTGTTTAAAAGATGGAGAAACAGTGCTACAACTACAAAAGGTGAGGGAGATGGCGAAGGAGAAGATAGTTAATCCAGTTAATGCGTAAATTTAAATGAAGTGTCTATGGCAGGCCGTTTTTACATTTACTAAAAGCACTCCTCTCTATTGTTCAATTTGTAGATCACTACGATAAGATTCGTCCTTATCAAAATCACACTCCTAGACCTGTGATAATGTATTTTTTATATTACATTTTTGTAGTATAAAATACATTTTAGAAAGTAAAAAAAAAAAAAAAATTCAAATTCAAATGCTGACCAGTAATATAAGGAGTATGGAGATCTGAAATTAATTAATAGACATCCAGAATGTTAATTCTAGATGTGGAGAATTTCATTATGGTTGAAATGTTAATTTAGACAAAGAAATAATTTTTTTTTGTTTTGTTTTTTCCAGATATCAGGACTACATATTAAAACTGGTACATATCAAAACGACTTGCCATAACTGTTGGTGAGGTGAAAACATTACGGGATTTTTTCTTAAACAGTAATAAATTTGTTCAAGCCCCTCATCGCCACAATACATAATGGGTACACAAGACAAGCCCAAACAGACAAACTCCAACTCAATACATGTCTCCCCCTATACAAAGTATTTACACACGTAAACAAATGAATTATGTTATTACTGTATTATATAAAAAAAAAAAACCTGTACACTCAGTACCCACAACCATATGTTCTCATATTCACCATGATTTATCAGAATTATACAATATATTCATTAATTATAACTATATTGGACATTGTCTATATATTAATATATAATACATTATGCGTTTTTACTTAAAACTAAACATTCTAGTCTATATACATTAGATATCAGAATACATTACACATACACTAGCCATAACTATTACACAATGTCCTAATACTGTACTACTATATGTCAAATTCTCTATATACACTACAAGATATCAGAAGAATGAATTATATGGTGATTGTCAAACTAAAAATTCTCAATATACAACAGATGGCAGAAAAATGCATTTGCAAAGTCAATGACTGAGGAAAAACTTTGATTCAGACAAAATCAGCAACAAAAGGGTCTTAGAACTGATGGTCCACTGGCAATGACAGACTAGTTGAAAGCCTGGAGGTCCATGACAAATCAACATGCAGCAAGGACTCTTGTAGGGACTGTAATCAGTCAAAATTCACCCATTTTTTTTTTTTTTTTAATCATCACTAATTCTAATTTATTGTTCAGATCATACAACAAAGTTTTAATAACTAGATATTTATCACAAAAATAAGAAAAATGCCCATCCCTAGCCATGCCTCAATCCACACACAGACTCTTTTGGCTGCTTGTGTGGTATTGATTCAAACTTGGGAGTATCTGGTTCTGAAGATTGTGGGGATCCACTCGATCCTCTCCTGCTGCTCCCAGCTAGAGCAGCCTTGTCCACTGGGTTCATCATGTTAGCAGGGTCTTCCCAGAGGGGCATAGGAGTCTAGATCCGGGTCAGCCAGCTGGACAGCCTGCATTTCCACCTACAACAGAACTTAGAGACAGCAGAGTGAACCAAAATCTGCCTATATGGAGGTTAAGACATGGAGCCACAAGCACTACAACCAGCATTGTCACACCCATTACCCTCGTTCCCAGACATTAATGGATATTGTTGCAGGGAGAGTCTGTTGTCAGACTTTGGAATAGTGAAGTTATTGTTATATTAAATCTGAACATCAAATCTTTACCAATAAGAGATTTAAAGGACACAAAGGAGACACCAAAAAGAATGTTTCAGCTGCACTTCCTGTGGAGTGGAACACTAAAGAAGCAGAATACATTCCCCTAAAATTTCACCTGAATCAGTAACTAAAAAAAGAGAAATTCATCATCCATAGAGGAAAAATATATGCACACGTTTGCTCTGTTTGAAAACCTAGGACGCGTCCTTAGAAGGCCAGATTCGAAGGACAATTACGTCATAGCGCAGCGCCGAGTTCTGGTCGGATAACAAAGTATTTTTTGTTGTTGAATATTAGAGATTTTGCAGATATATTTTTATACATACATTGTTTAGATTTACTTATATCTTTCTACCCCTTTTATAGAATATAATAGAAAATCCCTTTATTGTCCCACAATGGACAAATTTACAGCAGCAGAAAGATTATTGAAAATGGTCACACAAATGTGGACCTTAGAAAAATGTATAAGAATAACATAATAGCGAAGAGTTAAAAAAAAAACAATACAATTCTGTAAAGTGTTTTAACAATATAAAACTGGAGAATAAATAAGTAATATCCACCTATGGACATTTTTACAGTAATGGATATTTGAAAATAGCAGCAACAGCAGTGCGCAAAATGACAGCAGCATGTTATTTAACTGACTAAGGTTTCTATCATTACATTTGATTTTATTTTTTCCTGATAAAGGTTGGAACCTTTATTCCACTCTGGATTCTCGTTAGGATGCAGCCCACGTTTTCGAACAGAGCCATTTTGTCTTTTTAACGGCAGGGATATGTGCATGTCAGTAGTTGCGTGATGGAGTGGCATTTTTTCCTCTGTAAGCAAGCTAATTGGTCAATAGAAGCAGATACCATGTCAGCATTTAAAGATGAGCAGGGATTGAAGAAAAAAAAATACAAAGCCTAAACTTTTTTGACACAGGCAAGAATATACACACACACACACACACACACACATATACATAAATGCCGAGATCTAGCCATGTTTCCAGCCCACTTACAGACTCTGTGGCTACTCAATCCTCTCCTACTGCTCCAGGCTGGAGCCGCCTTGTCCACTGGTTTCATCTCGTTAGCTGGACCTGTGTTGGTCTGCAGATTCTTCTCTAAGGTTGATAGGAGACCAGCGCTGTCTGTTAGAGCACTAGGGCTGCAATTAATGATTATTTTTGAAAATTGATTAATCTTTCAACTATTTTTTTCGTTCATCGAATAATAACTGGACAACCAAAGGTTCCTTAAAGATAAACCTAAATTAAAACAGGTGAAAATAAATGTTTCCACATTAGTGTTGGGATCCAGAGGCTTGCCCACCAGAGGGCGCCGAGGATCCCTTCCTGATGGTTTGTTCATCCGTTGGGATCTGGGGTGGTGCTGTCTACCTTGCTCCACCAGAGGGCGTACTGGATCTCCTGAACCTGGAGCTGACTTCACCAGCTGACTCTCATCTGCTCATCAGGGGACCAGTACTTAAGTGGGCTGTGGACAACACCCCAGATCCCAACGGATGAACAAACCGTCAGGAAGGGATCCTCTGCGCCCTCGGGTGGGCAAGCCTCTGGATCCCAACAGACCCTGTGATCCCAGATCCCAACGGATGAACAAACCGTCAGGAAGGGATC